GGGGGCAAAGGGGAGTAAGGCTTCCATCTTGATATGGTGGCATTGAAGAGCAGCTCTTGCCCACCATCTCCAGGGGGTTCTGGCCCTGAAAATTAAGTGAGTGTCTGGTCCAAGCACTGAACCCCTTCAGTTCTTTTTGCCTTGACCACTTCTTCTTGTTCTTCTCAAGGTTCTTTCATCAGTCCTTTGGCTTCCCATTTGTCCCTTGGGTGCTTATACAGCCTTTCTGCTTTTCTGTCTTTCCAGTCAGATTAAGCCACTTCTCCACAGGATATTGTTCCTGTGACCAACCCCAAGCTAACTCGTCCTGCTTAACTATATGCTCTGATGGGCCTGGGTGCAAACACTCCCTCTAACTGGCAGACCATGCACATTTGGGGTGAGCAGGCCGCTGCAGGCCCCTCCCCTGCTTGAACTAGCGTGGGCTGTGCCCATCACAGGCGGCAATGTGCCAAGATGGTGAAGAAAGTCAGGGGAGACAAGTGTGATGGTAAAAATGGGTTGGGGACTAACAGGACTTGGTAAAGGAGGTGACTGGGGTGCACCCAGAACCAGAAGGCCTTTAAGAAACTGCAGAATCTCTGGCTGGCTTTCTTATTTTCTGACCACCTGATATGGGGCTGAACTCATGAAATGGGATCCATCTTCTGATTGCCACCCACTTTTCTGTTTTGCTTTTACTTTTCTCTCCCCACCAGAGTTGATCGTGAAATGAACCATTACATCACAGTAATTCATGTACCTCATCTTCCTCAGGAGAAGCCACTTGCTACAATGAACTTCAGCAAAGCTGCATCTCTCTTCTCATTATCCACTTCATGTTTTCACTGCACTCTCTCGCTCTTACTAACTCTAATTAGTTATTTGTTTCTCCTCTCAGTTTATTTTACTCCTTTCTTCGTCTTTTAGCTGTGTCTGTGATTTTTCTGTCTTATGCTTTCTATTCCTTTTATCAATCTCAGTCCAACTCACCATTTAAACTGTCCTAATTGCTTTCTCCTTTTATCTGTTTCTCTCATGCATTCACTGCTTCATCTTGTCCCTTCTTAAAACCACCTTTTTCCAAAGTCTTTTTCTTTCTCCCATTTTGTCTGCATCTTTCTACTGGTTGTGAATGTGGCTGCCAATCATTCAGGGGGTGCTGTTCCTGCTTTCACACAGGGTTCTACAAAACGCTTTTCCTTCAGCACATTTAGCCCTATTTATGAGAGTTGGTTGAAATAAAAAAAACAATAAAAAATGTGTGAAAGATTTCATAACTATCAAAGTTCTTTCTATTTTACAAGGTTCGAAATGGTTAATTGCTACATTTTTTGGCAGTATCTTTAAATCAAAAATTTATTTGGCAACATTATCAAAAGTATCGAAGGGGGGAGGGATAGTTCAGTGGTTTGAGTATTGGCCTGCTAAACCCAGGGTTGTGAGTTCAATTCTCAAGGGAGCCATTTAGGGATCTGGGGCAAAAATCTGTCTGGGGATTGGTCCTCCTTTGAGCAGGGGGTTGGACTAGATGACCTTCTGAGGTCCCTTCCAACCCTGATATTCTATGAAAAAGTCACATTTTTTTTTTAAAAAAAAAAAAAAAAAAAAACAAACCTCCATTTTTTCAAGAAATTTTATTTTCAAAATAAGTCATTTTTACTACCAACCCCCTCCTTTTTTGTTTAGGAAACAACCCCCTGTCCCCAAGACAGATTTAAAAGTGGCAAGAAAAATTGAAGGAGTTAGTATGAAAATACCCATGTATGCTTTTGACAACAGATGGTTGCAGCCTGGTTTGGGATTTCCCACCTTCCTGAGTAACTTTTACATGTGGTACCAGCTCCTCCAGACAGGGGATACTGTGATGCCTATAGCCTGTTTGTAGCAATATCCCTGCCAGCCTATGGAGTACAACAGAGCTTCTGTAACTTTGTAGTTGCAACCAGTGACATCAGATTACAGATATTTGTGTGATGCAATGAAAAGCATTGTGCATTATGGCACATTATTTGCGTCTGTTGCATATCATTGAGGAGGCACTGTTGGTATCAGGTTGCCAGCCTTTACTACAAGCAAATGTATGCCCTCAGGTCAGACTTTGCTTCAGCAGCTTGGAAAAACTTCCAAGTTGGTCCTGTGCTGTCACGGACAGATTTGAGGTACCAGGCACGTCCTCTGCATCAAGCATCTGTGGGGTTTCAGTTTATAGAGAAAGAATTTCAGACTCCAAACGTATGTAAAAATAAATCACCTGATGTGACTTTGGTTATTGAATAGATTTCCAATGCATTCCGGTTTGCCCATATTTTTTTTTACTATATTTACTGCCAGAAATAGTATAGCTTCTAAACTGAAGCTTATAGATACTACTTGGAGACCTAGACCCCTCTCTCAAGTGTAAACTTCTATTGTTTGTTATTTATTGTTGTCTTTTGGAATGGGGAACATAAGAATTTACAGTAATATAAATGAACCCGTTAGGGTTCTTTAATAGGGTTGAGTTCATGGAGATTACTCTAACAACCTATATAACGGAATAGAGAATGATTGCCTTGCTATAGGGTTTTGACCTATCCTATAGAATTCTACAGTAGGAATATAGGATGGCTCCAGAAAATCAGGTCACTATTTGTATTCTTCAATTTAAAAACGCTTTAAGGGCTGGATTCAGTGCTCGCTGAAGTCAGTGCGAGTCTTTACAGGTGAAAGGCCCCAAATGAAAGCAGTACCCGTGAATGCTGCCAGATTGTTAGCCCAGAGAGGGAAATTCTCTATATATCTGGACAACAGACTGTGCACAGGCAGCCACAGTGTGAGCGTTCCCCACATATTACATGCCCCGCTACTAATGTGCTTCAGTCTTGAACTGTAAGGACTACGTAGAGGTAATTCAGCCTCCATGCCCATTTATTCCTTGGCTACTTTGCTGAAAATGCCACAAGGTATCAAGGGCACCCATTAGTGCCACCTGTCTTGTTGGTGTTTGTGTTAGGGACACCACTCCATCAAGAACTGGACTGACACTAATAGATCACTGATTCATTGCTAGATCAAAATTTGTCTCCCTTGGAAAATGTTGATGTTTCATTTAAAAGAAAATAATCCCTCCAAACCCAAAAACGTAAAAAATGTTGCCTGATAACTTCTGAAACTAAAAAAAGTCAGTTTTCAGATGGAAAAATCAAAAATTTTCATGGAGGCAGACACTTTCCATGAAATTGTTCATGTAGTCAAAACCCCCGTTTTCTACTGAAATTTTTTTTATCCTTATCACAGAAATGATTTACCTGACTCAGTTTTTTGGGAAACAGAAACAAATTTCATTTCACGTTGACTTAAAAGAATATTTTTTTTGTTTCTTCTTACTGAAACAAAATGAAAAAAAAAAAACAGAACATTTTGGGTTGAAAGAAACATTTTGTTTGACCTGAAATGAAACAGTTAGTATTTTTTACTCCCTTAAAAAAAAAAACCTGACTACATTTTGAAATGCAATGTCATTTTGAAACAAAAAGCCAAAATGTTTCATTGTGAAAATGTCAAAATGAAATATTTTGACTTTTTTGAATCCCCCCCCCCATTTTTTTCCAGGTGAAGCGTTTTGCTGAATTCAACCCAAATTCATGAATAGTTTCAGTCAACCTGTAACTGCATTTTTCAGCGAATAAATAATTTATCCCCAAAATTTCATGCAACTCTATTTGTAATATAAATTTGGTTGCATTTTAAGGCTATCTTGGTAGCTGGACCTTCTAGTCACTTCCTCCTAGGCAGCAAATGCCTAAACCGCAGCACAAAATGCAGCAAGGCAGGGTGAAAGAGGAAATGGCTCTTGCCTGAAAAGCTTTGCAGAAGCTTTGTTTGGAACATCAGACCTGCACAGTCAACCAGTCCTGGTCGTTGTGCAGTGATTCAGCTGGGTGGCTAGGAAGTGAAATTTCACCACTGAGCAAATACATTTTGATTCATATTTGTATTTTGCCCCTCAAGTCCAGAGCTGAGCATCACTTAGCATGGCTAGTTGTGTGGTCTAGTCCAGGGGAAAACACTTTCTGTTTGTGCTTTGCCCATTCTGGGCATGTTAGTTCAACCCATTTTATACATAGATATTAATTTGAGGAGAAGGAAAAGTGTAAGTATGACCTGGGAGCTCTAACGAGGTATGGTCAATGATGATTCATATATCGCTTTTCATCTATATAATCTTCCTCAAAGAAACCTAAAGCACTTTGACATAATTTATATGTTCAAACACCCTCTTGAACCTTGGCTAGACAGTTAAGTAGCATTGTCCTCCTTTTACAGATGGGTAAATTGAGGCACACGTTAAGTAATTTGCTCAATATTGCATTATGAATTTGTTACCGATCTGAGAATAGAATCAAGGAATCCTTACTCTGTGTCCTACTTTAATCATTAGTCTATAATTTCTCCCAAATTTCTGCCACTTGTGCAATTATAAAATAATTACTGTATTATCTATGAGAGACAAGGTGGGTGAGCTAATCTCTTTTATTGGGCCAACTTCTGTTGGTGAGAGAGACAAGCTTTTGAGCCACACAGAACTCTTCTTCAGGTCTCTTTCACCAACAGAAGTCGATCCAATAAAATATGTTACCTCACCCACCTTGTCTCTCTCATATCCTGGGAATGACACGGCTACAACTACACTTCATATACATCTACCCTACATGGTAAAACCGAAGTGCTGCATTGGGAATGCAGTGGATTTGGGATGAAAATGGTAAATAGGGTATTTCAGCTATAAAGAAGATTTGAAAGACTTTGTCTTCTGTGCAGGAAGTGGAAAACTCTGTACACATTTGGCCAACGGTTAATCCTTTGCTTTATCTGTTTGAGCTCCTCTTGTCCCTAAGTATAGCTGCACAGAAATGCATAGTCTCACCATTTGGTAGTACCCCTCTATTAGAACGTTTGATTGGAGTTTTTCTCTCAAGCAGTCTGACATACCTTTCCCTATGTACCCTTTCTGAATCTGACCATACTTTTTTTTTCAGAATGCAGCAGCAACAACAACAGCGCCGAATGTTCACAGCTGCCCTCTTGGCGTTCATTTTCATTCTGGCAGCCATGGGTACTACTGAGGCTGGCAAAAAAGAAAAACCAGGTAAGGTACAATGTAATCAATTGTGCAGTAGATATGGGGGTGGAGGGTAGCAGAGAGGGCCTAGGACCAGATCTTGCACTACTGAAGTCAATGATAGTTTTGTTATTGACTTCGGTGGGGTTAGGATCAAGCTCCTAGTGTCTAAGGCCTAGATCCTCAAAGGTATTTAGGAATCAAATGCCCACTAAAATCTATTTTGGAATTCAATGGGAATTAGATGCCTAAATATATTTGAGGATTTAGGCCAAAATGTCTTCTTGTATTTATCAGTATGTTTCACATACTTTTTTTCCTCTGTATTTTACATTTGGGATGCATGGACTTGTTTCTCCCCATCAACTAATTAAAAGAAAATAATTTGTTACATGTGAGGGGGTTTCTTGAGTACCATTTGCTTCTTCTCCATTGGATAGGTGTGACATTTCATCCCACCTCAGAGTCCAAACCCGGCTGGCACAAACCCGAGTTACAGATCCATCCATGACTGAAAAAAATATTTGCCAACAGAACAAGACCTTAGCGATAGTTAGGGAGAAGATTCCCTGAATTATTCATTTCCTTTTGATACAAAGATGGAAAAACAAAAAAGAGAATCTAACCTGGATTTGGTGCCCAGCTGGAATGGATTTTTGGATTTGCCTCTTATTTTATGTCGGCCTTTTCCTTGCTTCAGAATTTCTGTCACCTAGCCTGAGGACATATGTCCGTATTGTAAACCTGTGCACTGTTTGACAAAAGTGACAGACTGTGCTCATGAAAGAGCCAGTGTTAGGAGGGGATAATGCACATTGCTGTTAAGGTGCATTGGCAGAACTGTATAGATGGGTAGGTCTAGAATAGCAAGGAATTCTGCAGCTCAAGACTGAGGTGTATTGCCAGGAATGTCCATGAAGACACAAGATTTAGAAAGCAGGGATTATTACAGATTAAGTCTGAAATCCATTGGTGATTTGTGAGTGTGAGATTGAGTCTGGAATAACAGGGTGCTGCATATGAGGACTGAGATACATTTCCGTAACGTGGGGGACCCAGAACTAAAATGAATAGCAGGAGTCACTGCAAAGCTGGACTGAAGTACAGTTGGGGAACTGTGTGTGTGGTTGGACTGGGGCAGGGACCAGGACTGGAAAAGCAGGGATGCTGCCGGTCAGGAATATAGTAGGTTGAGAGAGCTGTGTGTGGTGCCCAGAAATGGAATAGCTGAACAGAGTGGCATTTGGATTAAGGTACATTAGGAAGTCTGTGTATTACATACTATTTCCTAGTACAGAATGTCTGGGGTATTGCATGCCAAGACTTAATTCACTCTCTCTTTTCCCTGAGGTAGATTCCACCGATAGAAGAATGTCAAAGTCTTTCAGTTTTGTTATGAAATTCAGGATAATCATTAACTTTTTGACACACAGAGTAGGGATTTGCTGCAGTGACATGTTTTCATTTAAATGGGAGTACAGAAATTAGTTTCTGTGAAAGCTGCCAGTTTGACAGCTGTGAGGACTGAAGTTCTCTTTTTAATCAAGGGACAGGTATGGCATGGCAGCACCAGTACAGCCTTCCTCAGCACTGCCCTGGACTCAAGCTCTCTTGGGCTATTGGAGAGGTTCCCAGTAGGGTTGAGTGTGTGGTTCACTCACCTTGCTCTTTTGTTGGCCTCTCTGAATTAGAGTGGCCACTCTCACATTCCCAGAACATCAGACATTCTGGCACTTCTGGGAATGGCGTGGGCCCGCCCCTGCCGATGTGACCCTGCCCACGCTGGCATGACCTCACACACATGGTGCGTGTGTGTGGTCATTCTGGCAGGGGCAGAGTGGCACATTCTTCAAAATGGCGTCCTCTGTCCGATCCCGGATATAATCACGTCTGGTTTTGTCTCAGTACTGGATGAGGGACAACTTGGACAAGCCACACATAAAGAGGACTGTCTGGTTTAAAACCGCATGAATGCCTTACCTACTCTGATTATACTAACAACAAAGATCCCGCTTATGTGACATGGAAACCCATCCATTAGGAATTGGACTAAGACTTTGTTTCACGTAGAACCTTACAAACACACATCTGGTGTAACTGCTTTTGATCAGCAGTGACCCAGTCCTCATTTTAAATAGAGACAGTCCTGAGCTGGAAAACTCAGACCTAGATTTCAAATCTGGATGTTTCCAACTCTTCTGCTTTTTATCATGAGAGTCATGATTTTTGGCATTTTTCTTTAAGCCCTACGGCTGTGAGACCTGTGAATATTTCAGAATCTGAGCTTTCATTTCAGAACAGACAGTACATTTCTAGCCATTGTGGATATGGCGAAATAATGGAAAATATGAACCGTAAAGGTGCAAAAACTGGAAGGCAAATAAAAGAGCTCAAATATATTATTTAAAACATCTTATAATATTTTGAGGCCTGACTCATGATTTTTGAATACTAGGAGTTGGCAGTTGGGCTAATCTCTCTCAGTGGACTAAGATCATGCAACATGAATTGAAGACCAGTTTCTTACCAGCACTCTTGTGCACTGGATCTTTATAACACCTATTTTTGGAGGTGTTTGGATATGTTTTGGGCCATTATAAAAGTAGGAGGGTAGCCATCAGTAATGAAATTTGTATCCATGTTCAGATATACTGACACATCCTTCCCCTGCTAGCTTATGTCTCTGCCTCCAAAATTCAGAGTGTGTTCCGACATGAAGTATAGTATACAACAAAGATAAAAGGCCTGTACCCCATTTCCTGTCCTTTGAGTGTGGGTGAACACTTTTCACAAATCGCTCAGTCCTTATCCACAAAGGAAACCTGCACAACACCTTCAAAAGTTGAGCCTGGGAGCTTACATTCATAGCTTTGTTAGACACTAAAAATCATGGACTAAATAGAGACACTGGATTTTATGACCTTTTATAATAACTATAATCCACTAAGCCCCACTCTCCACAGCTTGTTTTTATTTTTATTTTTATTTATTGCCCCTCATTTCCCACCTATGACTGGGGAGGTGTTAACTGGCCACTCCACCCTGAATGGTCCTTGGAAATACGTGTTTACTGCTTATGCTAAACAATCTGCTCCACCTTGTATTTAGCTGTGCCACTGAGTACATTTCCCAGACCTGAAGAAGAGCGCTGTGTAAACTGGAAAGCTTGTATCTCTCACTAACAGAAGTTGGTCCAATAAAAGATATTACCTCACCCACGTTGTCACTCTAATATCCTGGAACCAGCATGGCTACAACAACACTGCATACACCAAATCCCCCTTGAAACACCATATTAATGCATAAACTTCTGGCCCATGTGGTACTTGGTATTTAATCTGAAAATGTTGATATGCCACCAGCAGGGGCAGAACGTCCTCTTTTGTGAGTGTGTGTGTACGTAGATCAGTGATCCCTGATA